TCTTTCTTATCAATAATGTTTTTTTTTCTATTTTTATTCACTTTCCATAATAGCTTGCGCCTTAGTGGCATTATCGCCTTGCTGATTTTGTGACACAGGCTACAAAGCATTGGGATGCTTTTGCAATGTTATATAGCATAAGTGTTTCGCATAGATCCAAATATAGAGTGTAAATAAAAATATACAATATTGAATACAAGTACATATTTTTCGTCCTGGGTATAACGATAAACTACATCCGCGTCCTGGGTAAGACGATAAACTACGTCCAACAGCAATGCCTCCGATCAGGAGGTTTTGAGAAGCGTGGAAACACCTCTTAATTATTGGTGTTCCCAGGTCCACCCTGCCCCGGGGTGGTAGCACCTGTTAGGGTCCCAGCTATGGACAAATAGTTGACACCCAAACTTGTGCAAAAATAGGTTTTAATACCAGAAATACTTCGTAATGAAAAAATATTACCAGCAATAATTTTTGAAGTAAAACACATTACCAGCACTAAAAATTTGGTCGGCATTAAATAACCCATTGAGGTTGATATGCCGTAAAACAAACCAAACAAAAATCAAACAAGTACGTATTTTAGAAGTAATCTAGAATTATGCAGCGAATACAGTTGTACCTCGGGTTACGAATGTATCTAATTACGAAAGACTGGGTTTACGAACGAATTTTTCGAACCAAGAGCGTCTTGGGTGACAAACCGTTTCTCGAAGTAAAAAACACGCAATCCGACGAAACCATGCAGCGACAAGTCGGGAGTATCGGTGTCGGGAGCGTCGGTTACGGTATAGCGTTGGCTCCATAAACATGCCGATTCGAATTTACTGTGCCTTTTCTTGAATTTCAATTTTTTTTGTTTTTTTAATAAATTTTTAAATAAGGCACCATTGGACCAAATAAGGATAATGATAGCAGCAAAATGAAAAAAAAAAAAAAGAAAAAAAAAGACCAGGCTTAAGCCAGAGGTAAATAAAGAAACCATAGCCAGGTATGAAAATAGTATTTCGTGTCTCTGATCTTGCCACTCAGTTTGGTATGTCAAAATCAACACACTGCCCTATTTTAAAAAATAGACGCTGAAAGAAGTGGCAGTTGTAACAAAACAGAAATCACAGACAAGTGAAGAATCCAGAAACGGATTCCTTAGTGGAAAATCATTTCGTTTTACGAACATTTCGGGTCAAGAACAGCCTTCAGGTATGAATTGAATTCGTGATTCGCGCTCCAAATTTATTAGATTGAATTATAAATAGTCTTTCTTTTTTTATCTTCAAAGAATAAAATTCCATTTTATTCAATTATTACAGGGTGGCCCGAAAGTCTTGTCACCCCTACACAATATAATTTTCAATTTCAGATGGCTGATAAGAAAGACCTTCTCGATGTGTAACAGCGTCACTGAAAGTGAATAAACTGAATCCAGTACATGTGCTTTGTATTACTTGTTCTTTTATTGTTCTCTTTACTTTTTGGTAGATCATCCTCTATCTCAATAGAGAAGGCGACATATTTATAGAATCCTATACATGCATACATATATTATGATAGTAGCCACTCTTTTTTTTTTTGAGTAATGGCATTGCTTGAACCGTCATCAGATATGAAGAGAGCACATCTGGCTTTTTTTTTTATCTAGGGTCATACATGCTGTTGCCCAGATGCGGCAACGTTGTGTGTCTTTTGTAGTTGTCACATTAAGTCTCTTTGTAAGTAGAACAAAATTACAGGGTGTTGCAGCAAAATCCGACATTTGACAAAAAGAAAACGAAATCGGCAATAAAAACAAAAGTTGTATATGCAGAAACCCAACAGTTTGACAACTAACTAACGTTTTTCTCTCTACCCTTTTCCAGGATGGAATATGAGCGCAAAAAAAAAAAAAAAAAAAAATTTTCTCACGTCAGGTAACTGTTATCACTTTTTCCAATATTGATGTAGTTTCCTTCCGAACCTTCTTTATTTGAAGTAATGTGGTGATTTTCTAATCGTTACTTAGATGTGGCACAAGGCCGAAAGGTATGGTGCTGCCAGTAAGGTTCAAACTAACCATTCAGTTGTAATTAATCTAGCGAGTTGATTCATCAAGCCTGTTAACCACGATACAACGTCAAAGTTCTCAATTAGAAACAGCGTGGAATTGTCAACATCTTGATTATGTCATTATGTTCGCGTCGAGTTATATGTTATATCCATTTTAGTTGTTGCGGTTGTTGAAAGTCATCAAGTCAAACGATGATTCTTACATGTCCATAAATCATATGATGTAAAGAAATTCTTAATAGAAAAAAATATAAAAATTTGTTGCAATTCCAAGGATCAAAATGAACAAATAAAAAAAAAACACAACACAAAAAAGTAAAAACATATAATTGGAGGTATAAAACAAAATGTCAAATGTAGACAGTTGGCAAACAGAAAAAATATTACATAAGAGGGACATGAAAGCAAACAAGAACCTAAATTCGAAGAACAAAAATTTATTACATAGATATAAAAACAAATGAACAAAATACAATTTTTAGATAAAATGCTTACACAAAATATTTACTTTTGTGGGCCTTATGATCAACAAGGCAAGATAACCAGTACCAAATATAGAATTATAGGCTTATTAAAAATGACATGCATAAAATTTCAATAATCGAAAAAAAAAAGCCCTTGAGAAGATCATACAAAGATCTTTTTAACAAACACGCTTTCATAAAAGATGCACTTAATTGAAAGACGAAAAAGGGTTTTGGCGGAGCTTACTAGCGTCACTGGGACTTCTAACATTCCTTTGAACAATTTCTTTTCTAGAACTCAGTTCAATACAAATTCATAGGTTTCGCTTTGTTTGTGCTTCTTTTTCTGTTTGCATCTTCTGGGAGAAACAACCCACAGTTCATCCACTGGTGACAGCGAAATAACTTCTATTTTTTTTTATTTTTGGTCCGTTTTTTTTTGTTGGAATTTGTTTGCCTTCTCATTTCTTGAATTTATTATTAAACGTGACAACAAAAGAAAAGAAGAGTCTTATCTCGAAGCAACTGGGAAACAACTGAAGGAAAACATATCGAAGCCATTAACTTTCATTCAAAATAAGAAATATAGAATAACATCATGTTTTCAAGATATATGTGAATCTTATAAATGAAAGAAAAACCCGCTAGTAGAATTGAATTTAACAGAAAGAATAAATGGGAATAGAGGCGTATATTGTAATCTGTGTATGGAAAGAGAAACTATGAATTGAATAATCTCTATCTATAAAAGGCAGAATGTGTGTGTGTTTAACGAATACACGGCCGCAATTTTCGACGGATTTGCACCAAAATTTACATGCACATGCTCCAAGTTAGATGGAACGCCAAGACCGACTTTGCATTTCCCAACTCCCATCGATAGTGAATATAATCGATTTTTTCATGCATCTACAGCAGTTTTCATATAGCTTGCGGCCATTTTCTACTGGCCAGAGTAAGAGCCTATATCTGGCTGCCACGAATAGGCAAGAAGATTCTATTGGCCAGCGTGAGAGCCAACAGCTGACTGACACGAATGTTAACTAGCATGCTAGCATGCAAAAAAAAAAAATCGATAGCTGCATTCGTCACAAGTGGGGAAAATTTAAATCTGCATGGCACTTTACTCCAATTGGCTCATTCGCTTGCTTAAAATTAACGTTGATTCTGATTCCGCACAACTGGGTTGGTGGTGAAAAAGTATTTGTTGTTAACATTCTTTGTTCATTCTGTTTTTCCAGTTACGGGTCCTTTTTTAAAGCTGATCGTTTTGTGTTCATTTTGTTTAGTTCTTTTTTCGTAACAGATTCAATGTTTAGTATAGAGATTAGAAAAATTGGCAGTGTGAGATAGGCAAGAAGTAAGGCGTTTACCAACATCAGCACGGCAAAGGGAACTCGTAGGCAAACGTATAAAACCGGGTCGGGTAGCTTTTTCTCGAGACGAGACTCTGTCCTTCGACATAGCCTCGTGTGCGGATCCTCTCTGACCGGAAGTAGAGTTTGACCAGCACAGCTGGAGACGAATCTTCAACTGCAGACCAAAATACAGTATTTATTATTGTATTTATGTGAATGGGGGCATAGCCATTACCGTCCGTAGGTACGCTACAACAAATAGATAACACCAAAATATATAAAGATAGGTCTCGATGTAATGCGTGGCTAAGTTCTTTTTCCTGGCACTTTGCTCAGATAGGATGATGTTTCAAACATGAAAATACCTAACACCTAAACACCCCCCCCTTGAAAACTTGCTAAACAAGTAACCGAAACCGTCTGGGAGAATGTACAATACGGCTAATTTTTGCACTCACTTTCAAATGGAAAAATGGTGAGAATTTTGGAAAAACGAAGTAAAAAAAAAAAAAATCCAAGTTTTCCTTGTCTGTCATATTCAATGAATAGATCGTTTTGTTTTTTTTTTAAGTTTTCTCAACCCAGGTTATTAAAAGCCAGAAAATATTTTTAGATTGTACTAATCTTCTTTTGGCGCGGGAGGTGGGGGTGGAGAGATAATAATGATTTAGTATAAGAAGTCTTATTAGTTAACCCATAGCTGGAGGGAGAAGAGCCTGAGTCATACCTTTCCACGTAAATGAATATAACGAGACCAAGTGAAATTGGAACTCAGCTCTCCGATTAACAATCCCCTGGAATTTTATACACACCACCCGCACACCCAAGGTTAAAGAAGAAGAAATTCCAAAGCATTCACCCTTATAGGTGCTGACCAAACTGCACGTTACTTAACTTCGGTGATCATATGGGAACCATGTTTCAACATTATATATATATATATATATATATATATATATATATATATATATATATATATATGTGTGTGTGTGTGTGTGTGTCTGTATGTAGCATATATCGTTAGTTCTATCTATAAGAGAAGAGTTGAATAGCCATGTTATTCTTGATTGTACTTTTACTACATCTCTGATTCTTTTTCTTTTTCGATGTTTGTTATATTTCTTTCTTGTTCGACATGTTCTGCGTCTCTGTACATTTGTATGTTATGTTGGGGTTGCAACCGCACGTCTCCCCTCCCTCCTTGCAAGAACAGCAACTGAACACTATGTAATAGGGTCAAAGCTGACAAGTTCAAGTAACTAAAATCTTGGGTGGTTTGTTTGGCTCAGAAATAACGGGATAATCTCGCGAGGTCAAAAAGCACAAAGTGCTAGTCTTCATTTAGCCTGCGTCTCGTTTTCATATGTAAGAAGTAAAAAAAAAAAAAAAATCCTTAGTTATCGTTTGACGTTACAGCTAAACATTTGCAGTATCATTTTACAGAAGGACTGGTGACTCTGGAAAAGCGCCATGAGTGTTCTGGCAATTGCTAGAAAAACGTGTCACGATTGACAAAAAAAAAAAAAAAAAAAAACGAAAAGAAAAATTCCCGCCTTTAACATACTAACTTTAACTAGTTGCCTTTTGTACCGATTTCACTCCGGTTATATGAACAAAGAGGCATACAAATGATCTAGTGATCTCGGAATTATTAGGTAGCGATTCAAATAATTTCAATTATTGTTTATAAATTATATTAGTTACCAAACTGATCCGAGGTGGAATTTGGTTTGAGTAAAGGAGCAAAGAATTATTTTCATTTACAAGATAAGGAAACTTCTCTGGTAAGTCGTATAGTGTAGCGTTCGAACATACGGTTTACAAGGTGTGAAATGAGATCAGAAAAATAAAGGAGTATGCTTAATTCGGCTGACTGACTGTTTGTCGTCAGTTTGGGTTTGTCTAGTTGATAGTCTGTTCTCTTTCTGTGCTCACAGGAAGTCATTTTCACAGCCTGATGGTCGGACGGGGAGTCAACCGTGTTCGTGTGTGCATCCGCGCTCGCATGTGTGTGTGTGTGTGTGAAGCCTCTCTTTCAATCCCTTTGTTCTCTGTCTTCTTTTCTCAGTCCGGCTTCTCTTATAGCCTATATAAGGAGAACCCAGGGATGTAGTTGTAGATATCTGTGGCAAGCGACAGTCGCGTAGATAATGGCCAGCACTCTGGTATATTTGTGTTTGTTTTAAAATTTGTTCTGAGTAGAGTGAGCCATGTGTGCGTCTTGGCTTGGCAAAAATTGATGTGTAGTTAGTTATATTTTCGTATAATTGTGTAAGTTTGGATTTAATGTTATCTCTCTGTGTAAATTGTGTTTCTTTGCTAGAAATTTAAGTACGATTATATTTTATTTAGTTATGTATTCACCTAATTTGCAATGCCTTGTTACATCTTACCAAGAAACTATTCAATACATTTTGAGTAAGAATCCGCTGGTTTTTACGGGAAAATAATTTCCACGGGCGTAAAGGTTTGCAAGAGAGAAGTTTTTATCCACAAAGTTGTTTTTCTAATAATCAATTGGTGCGAAGTCGGGTGAATATAGTGATTTTCTAAGGTTAATTCGTTTTGACACAAGGCTGAAAGTATGGAGCACTCATTATACAGTTATAAATGAACTAGCGAAACAAGCTTGCCGCCAATTACACCAGTACCAAAAAGCCATGTGAATATGACAGAGAGGAAAGAACAGACAAGAAAAATTTCAATGTTTCCTGTTATTTTAGCTTTAAGCTTGGTTTTTCTTGCAAATGTCCAACATTTTTCCATTCGTCCATTGTGTACATTACACCTGCAGAGCATAAGCTAAGATATACCAGTGTACTTCAAATGTATTTATTTATTCTTAACTGCGTATTATAACAAGTAGTTTGAATATATATTCGTCATTACAATTTGTATCCCACAAAATGAAATTACCCATGACTCAAATTCAATAAACTCAAAAAAGAAATATATATCAGCCATGGTTTATCCAAAACGACATCAAGAAAACATATACTGGACGTGGGCAAAAAGATTTCTTTCTATTTCACCTTATTTTGTGCTTACCTCAGTATATATATATATATATATATATATATATATATATATATATATATATATATATATATATATGCAAACACACACACATCTATGTATATATATACACACACATATGTATGTATATATGTGTGTGTGTGTGTTTGCATACAGATATATATATATATATATATGCGAGCACACACATATATATGGATATATATATATATATATATATATATATATATATATATGCAAACACACATATATGTATGTGTGTGTGTGTGCGTGTTTTGTGTGTGTGTGTGTGTGTGTGCGAGTGCGCGCACATCACATTCAGATCATGAAATAGGGGAGGGTCAATATCGAATACATTGACAATTAAGAAACTTTATTTTCGGAGAGGCTGATCGGTGATAACCCCCTCCCCAACAGTATGTACGGAGCTCAGCCAAATGATGCCCAAAAGATACTCCGCCTTTAATCTCTTTAGCAGACCATTAGAGAAAACGGGTGCATCAGTTGGTTGACTTGAAAAGTTACTCTTTACCGCAAGGTGCCCATTCTCGTCTCACAGAATGTCAGGGGCCTGCTCCCGACAGATGGTCGAGCCGGTTGCGCTTAGGATGTGCAGACGTATGACAAGCGATAATTGAGTCCAAACAAGAGGAGCGAACGTCTCGAGAACAAGAATCTACAGAAAGAACCGCAAGCAATACAGTTGCCGTTATTGCATGACGAAGTCCGAAGATGGGTAAACAACAATTTTATAGTGATTTTCCAAGCGTAGCTCAGATGGGGTACAAGACCGAAAGTATGCGGCACCCAGTGAGGATCGAACTCACTACGCAGTCGTAATTGTTCTAGCGAGACAAGGTTCCTAACAATTACAACGCCTCGAGGTGCCCAAATATAGTGATTTTCCAAGCGTAGCTTAGATGTGGCAGAAGGCCTAAAGTATGGGACACCCTGTGAGTATCGAACTCACTATTCAGTCGTAATTGTTTTAGCGAGAGAAGCTTACTAAATATTACACCGCCTGGAAGTGCCCAAACATAGTGATTTTCCAAGCGTAGCTTAGATGTGGCACAAAGCCCAGTGAGGATCGAACTCACTACTCAGTTGTAATTCTCCTAGCGAGACAAGCTTGCTAACCATTAGGCCACCTCGAGGTGCCTAATCAATAATTTTATATATTAGAAATATTGTCTCGATTTCAAACAAGATTGTGTATCTTAAAATTAGTAGATTGTACAACGACAAAGTTACACCTGTACGTATGTGTTCATGCGTGTGATGGAATTTGGAATAAGGGATCTTCCTACCATTCTCAAGCAAAATTCTTTCTTCTTCGAATTTTTAGTCTTTACTTTATGAGTCGAATCAAACAGCCAAAGCTGCCATCGAATTCGATCCGTCATTTTTGATGAACAGGCAGGTTAACTTACCTTGTATACATGCACAAAACTGTCACACAAGTAATCGACCGACAGAGGGCACCACGCACAGTGCCAAAAACAAACAATGCTACCAAAGCAATAACCGGCTGTGCCAAGTCCGTTAGCTAATGCCAAAAGGGGAAAGGCAGGCAGCAGTCAATCGACTACAATTCGGAGCATGACTTCTGCGCCTTTGGGGTCAGCCAGGCTGGTGGTAATGCTGTTATGATGATGTGATTGAAGAAGTCAAGGGTGAAATTATATAGATGGATCTGTCGTTTGGCCGCTTACTTCGTTTTGTACAAGCCGGTGAGAATGATACAAGACTCTGGACAGCCCGTCGGGTTAGTTCTCCGAGAAATCCAGGGCATATAGATTAAGCGAAGAATAAAGGGTTAGCGTGATTGCGTGGTCGAATGTCCGGGATAGTGCAGAAGATGTATTTCTATCGATTCCGTTTTGTTTTTGCTGTCTTCGTGTTCTCTTTTAAATTTATTTTTATTCTCTGAAGACATTTGTTAAATTCCTCTAGATTTTTTTTCCTTCTGTTCATCTTATTCTTTCTGATTTGAGTTTATTCGTATGTAAATATTTTCTCGTTTTTTGAATTTTTTTCTTTGTATTTGTTTCTTTGGCAATTTTGAGCCTCCATGCCCGCAAACAAGGGATTGACAAAGGGACTGTTTTTCCATTGACACCACAATTATTTTAACTACCTTCACTCCCTGGCATCGTTTATAGTTATAAAAAAAGTAGTCATTAGAATTAAGAGAAAAATTAAACATGTGTTACAAGTCTTCGTCTATTTATATTTGTTGTGTTTTACGGCATATCGACCTCAATGGGTTATTAAATGCCGACAACTATTTTTTTCTGGTAATATTTTGTTTTGTCAGAAATCTATTTCTGGCAAAAAAATTTTCCTCAAAAATGTATAGCTGGTAATACTATTTTAAAACATGTACTGCTGGTAATACTATTTTAAAACATGTACTGCTGGTAATATTTAATTTTTTTTTTTTTAAACGTATTACTGTTAACATTTTTTCTTCAAAAATATATTGCTGGTAATAATTTTTTACAAAGTATTTCTGGTATTAAAACCAATTTTTAAACTTTTATAATGCTTTTTAGCTTTTGGTCATTCCATGCTTGTTATTCTCCTTTGGTCCTTCCATACTTTTTATTCTCGTTTCATCCTTTCATCCTTGTTATTCTCTTTTGGATTTATTCTATTCATTCGAATATATTTTCAATTTTATCATTAATTTTTCTTTATACTTGTCTGTTTTGTTCAAAACAGAAAATATTTCTTTTTTTGATTTCGCTTCTGTATATATTTTGGTCCTTATTTATTAAATTTGTGAGGTTTGTTTCGCAAGGGTCTTTGTAATTCAATTTGTAAATAAACAAATACTCAATAACAAAATTTATTTAAATTTGTAGAGCTGTGATTGAAGTTGTGTTTATTTCTTCTCTTTTCGCACGTTGATTCCTCTACATTCCTTTGAATAGAAATCACTGGATTTTTTACAAAAAAAAAATCGATGTCAAGCGGACTAAAAGATCAAGACAACGTAGGGGACAGGAACCGAACATTCATTCCCTTTGTTTTTATCAAGAACAGTTTTTTTTTATTCCAAATGCGCTGTACCAATGAGGCTACGAGAAATCTTCATATCTAAATTCTTATTTATTAAACACTGTTTGTTTTTTACTTTCATACTTACTCTATAGCATGCTGTTTATATCCAACCTATTTCTGTGTATCTACCTATCTGCATCTGAGGAGGTTCTGTATTTGTCTAGTTGATAGGAGTTTTGCAGTTGATCTCTCCTCTAACGTTACTCTACCAGCTCAATGCGGAAAAATCTGGCACGGAATAGTTGAAAATCGTCTTTGTCACCAAACCCAATCCCGAGTTTTCTCCAGTCACGGTTAAAAGATCCACTCTCAAAGAGGTTCTCGGATTTAAGAGCCTGTTGAAACTTAAAGTCGAATTCATATATAGGATCCCTTGCGAAAACATAATGGTCGATTGATCATTCTAGAAAATAACTTGATCCTTCACTACGATTTACAAGAGATAGATTAGACTAAAAATCAACTTCGGGCTGGAACTGACCAATCCACACTTTCAAACCTTGAAAAGGTCCCCAACCGTATACACTGTCTTGTGAGGTATAGAAATATTTTCAAGTTTGTAGTCTCTCCCACAAAAGTGCAACGTTATAAGCCTATTGCTAATCTATCACTATTTCCATGGCAAACGTTCTTTTCTTTATTACAACTAGTCCTGGTGTATTCAACTAGGAGATGCCATACTATATCGACCGAATCGAATTAACATGATTTCCTCCATATTCCAGTTGTAATGGAAAGCTTCGACTTAGCTCTTGCCACGGACGACTGCTTTGGGGAAAAGGCACTTACATGGAACTTTCTCCTTGAACTCTACAATGTTAACCCCTTCATTTCAAGGATCAATCCGTAGAAGGGCTCTTCTTAAATTTATGTCAGATACCATAAAGCAGGAAATTTTCTGGCTATCGGGCGCGGTACTACATGGATTTTAGTCCCCCCCCAAAAAAAAAATAACAACAAACAAACACAACAATATCCTGTTGCCGGTCAATATCATGTTGCCTATCAATTTATATCCTGTTTAATCTATATCTATCTATCTATCTATCTATCTATCTATCTATCTATCTATCTATCTATCTATCTATCTAAATCTGATCAGTATCTATCTATCTATCTATCTATCTATCTATCTATCTATCTATCTATCTATCTATCTATCTATCTAAATCTGACCAGTATCTATCTATCTATCTATCTATCTATCTATCTATCTATCTATCTATCTATCTATCTATCTAAATCTGATCTATCTATCTATCTAATCATTATCTAAATCTATCAGTAATCTATATATCTATCTAATCTAAATCTGATCAAATCTATCAGTATCTAATATATCTATATATCTAAATCTGATCTATCTAATCTATATATCTATCTAAATCTGATCAGTATCTATCTATCTAATATATCTATATATCTAAATCTGATCAGTATCTATATCTATCTAAATCTGATCAGTATCTATCTATCTATCTATCTATCTATCTATCTAAATCTGATCAGTATCTATCTATCTATCTATCTATCTATCTATCTATCTATCTAAATCTGATCAGTATCTATCTATCTATCTATCTATCTATCTAAATCTGATCAGTATCTATCTATCTATCTATCTATCTATCTATCTATCTAATCTATATATCTATCTAAATCTGATCAGTATCTATCTATCTATCTAATATATCTATATATCTAAATCTGATCAGTATCTATCTATCTATCTATCTATCTATCTATCTATCTATCTAAATCTGATCAGTATCTATCTATCTATCTATCTAGCTATCTATCTAGCTATCTAAACCTGATCAGTAACTATCTATCTACTACAGTCTCTTTCTTTCTTGCAAAATCGATTAAAAATCCAATCAAGAGAGTTCAAAAGGTCAATCATCGGCAAACCGCATGATTTCCATGGCCAGCCTGGCCGGCTCTCTTAATGTCACCTTCGCGTTGTCTTCTTCCGTTTTGGCCCGAATGTCCACACTGTTCGAGGTGCCAATTAGTGAACCAGTCAACTCTGTTTCGAAAATGTCTCGACAGACTCCGCTTAATTAATCTTCCCGATCGCAAGTCATTCAGGAAACAACACATTTCGTATGAAGGAAGTTGCTCATAGTCGATCCGTTTAAGTTAACTTTGCCACCTGATCATAACATCAATTCGTTCAATATCATCAAGAAATAAGATCAATTTTTGACCGTTTGTGTTATATAAAGTAAAGACGTTTACCAGCGTAACACCAAACTAGAAAAAGAATAGGAATGTCATACGAGCAACAAAAGATCCTGAGAAATGTTAGAAATCAACAGGATTAGTGCAAATTATTTTGTTTCGTACTGAAAGCGGATTACAGTCCAGAGGCTTAATTAGATAACAGGAAATTTGAACTGTCTATATTTCTGAGATGAGGTATTATATACACTATTTACATTATTCGGATTAACTTTGTCGCCATATTTATTACAACGTTTCGACCGTTCAGTATCTGTCTATATTTCTGAGATGAGGTATTATATACACTATTTACATTATTCGGACTATTGTTCTCCTCTTTGTCGCCATATTTATTACATCGTTTCGGCCGTTCAGTATCTGTGTATATTTCTGAGATGAGGTATTATATACACTATTTACATAATTCGGACTATTGTCCCCATATTTGTTGCCATATTTATCACAACGTTTCGGCCGTTCAGTATCTGTGTATATTTCTGAGATGAGGTATTATGTACACTATTTACATTATTCGGACTATTGTCCTCATCTTTGTCGTCATATTTATTACAACGTTTCCGGTGCACCCAGTCCTTCTTCAGGGGGTTGGAATGTACCATGTCTAATGGATGTCAGTTGTCAGTTATCTCCTGTTAATTCCCCTCTCCAAGTTTTCCACTGACTCAACCGGATATTGACGACTCTTTGGGTCGTGTCACTGGATCTAACTAACACCTTTATCTACTGTGCCATGTGTCTTTGAGGAGAGGGGAATTAACGGGAGATAACTAACAAATGGCATAGAACAGTCTACCCCAGTGAGCGAAATAATGGGTTCAGTTCGACATTCCAACAGAGAGCAGTGATCCAAATTCTGTAGAGAACATGTTACCTCGTCGATGCGAACATGCCAGTTCAACATTAGCATCTCACGACCTTGCTGAATCTTTTCGTCAAGATTGGAGGTTGACGGGCTTCTTGCAATATCTTTGTGCGTCCTGCCACTTTTAAGCTTCTCAATCGACTCATACACAATCCTACGCATATATATATATATATATATATATATATATATATATATATATATATATATATATATATATATATATATATATATATATATATATATATATATATATATATATATATATATATATATATATGTACTAGCAGTAGAGTCCGCCGTTGCCCGGGGATGTAACAGTAAGAGATAGATCAAGTATCGACCATCATAAAGACTGAAAAATAAAATTGGCAAAGATTATTGCATGTCTTAATTAGTTTTTTTTTTTTTTTACGAATTGGTCAAACCCAAATTCAAACAGAGACATTGTTTTCAATCGTTATGAGTCTATCGATTGAATATAATTTTATTATAAACAATTGTCTTGTAAATGGAATTTTTAAAGCATTCTGAATGTAGAAATAAAAAAAAAGTGGGCAAGACAATAAGAAACACTACCTGCCCCCAAAAAGTGAAGTTTTGTTGAAATCGGTTGAAAAATGTAGGAAATCCGATCCCATATATAAACGAACACACACACACACACACACACACACACACACACACACACACATAAACACAAACAAACAACCTGGGTTTTATAATAAGTATAACTCGATATGAGTTGTCCCCCTTTCATTCTGGCGACTTAATCGTGTTTTCAAATTGATTTCTTGCAAAAAAAATGTTTTTTTCCCTATTTTTGGCGCTGTCAGAACCACCGCAAGGTAATTTTACGCAGTCCTGTGAAGTTTTGTTGAAATCAGTTGAAAAATTTAGGAAATCCGATCCAATATATAAACGTACACACACACACACACACACAACCTGGGTTTTATAATAAGTAAGATATATATATATATATATATATATATATATATATATATATATATATATATATATATATATATTACCAATGTTTTTTTTCTCTTTTTTCTATTCTTGATTCATACATACAGCTCATTTCCTGCACTGAAATCCCCGTGTTTCTTTAGTACTATTTTTGTCCTTTTTTAATGTTGAACTATGAAACAGCGCCCATCCCATGAGCGTCTTTATATTTTTTAAAAAGATAAACAATAAGCTATATCTCGTGCCCGACGAGTTGGGTAACAAACGAAACTAGAGTCTCACATCAATTGTATTTATTAACATATATTTATTAGGTCTGTCTAATCACATTGAGCATTATTATGTCTAAACCACATTGATAAATTTGGTAATTATTTATTTGCTTACAAGCGGATGCACGCGAGTACACGCGTATACATTCGCTAATATCTAGTTATCTCGCTACTTAACACTATATTAAACATTCATACAGATATATATATATATATATATATATACGTGTGTGTGTATGTATGTGTGTCTGCATATATATATAAATATATATATACAGACATATATATCGCTGCATGAATGCTTAATATTTGTATACATTTTACCTCTATTATTTTACATCGAGCCTTGTTTTATATATATATATATATATATATATATATATATATATATATATATATATATATATATATATGTGTGTGTGTGTGTGTGTATAGTGCTGGTGGTAATAATACAGTGCTTGATGTAAAATAACAGCTGTAAAATTTATAGATATATTACACATTCATAGGGAATATATATATATATATATATATATATATATATATATATATATATATATATATATATATATATATATATATATGTGTGTGTGTGTGTGTGTGTGTCTGTGTCTGTGTGCATGTGTATATGTGTGTTTGTGCATATATATATATATATATATATATATATATATTGAAAAATCATAAGCCCTCTGTTGGTGTGATCTTTTGACTTAGATGCTCATTTATCTGATGCCCTATAAAAAGAAAAGAATTCTTTGGCGGAAAAGTACAATACCAATATGTTCGATTTCTTTTGATTGATTCTCAGAATGCAATGCTTTATATAACTAATAATGAATAAATTTTTCCATGCCTCACGACTCACTGATTTGTCGAAGATGTCTTACTTGCGAACAATATACAAGATAAATCACGTGAAATACTATTCACCTTAGAGACATGCGTTGCTTCCTTGGAAGAAAAGATTCTGCCTAGGAAGCCAGTATTTCATCGAAGTGCGATTCATGTAGTAATTTCTTGCTGGCAACTGCTTCCTCTGATCGCCTCAGTCCCAAAGCTACTTGTCGATAGATGGTCAGTGATTGACCGCCTTCTGATTGGTTGAAAGTTATAGAAATAATGCTTGTTGCAAGTGTTAAGAAGATAAAAAAACAAAAAAAAACAACAAAAACGATAAGACAAAATAGAAGAAGAAGAAGAAGAAGAAGAAGAAGAAGAAGAAGAATGGGAGAAAAAAATCAAGGTCGGTCAAGATAAAATGTAAGGGAAATTATAGATAGGAAGAAAATGGGAGACGGTAGAACGTTGAGAAGATGAAGAGGAGAAAATTGAGACGGAAGAAAACTAGGTAATAAGGTGACAGAAGCAGTAGAGATAAAAATACATAAAGTAGAAAAGGAGTATTAGTACTATTAGTATTAGTAATAGAAGAAGAAGAACAACAACAAGAACAAGAAGAACAAGAACAACAAGATGTTGATGGTGATGATCAAGGAAAAGAAGAAAATCACGAAAAAGAAGACCAAGACGAAATGAATAAAAAAAGAAGAAGACCAAGAAGAAGAACAAGTACAAGAAGGCAAAAAAGAAGACGAAGAAGAAGAAGAACAAGAAGAAGAGGATCAAGAATAAGAAAAGTAAGACCAAGAAGAACAAAAAGGTACAAGAAGAAGAAGAAGATGAAGAAGAAGAAGAAGAAAAAGAAGAAGAAGGGATCAGTACCGGTAGAAATAAAAATAGAAGTAGAAAAGTAGTAGTAGTATTAGTAGTAGTTATAGTAAGAGTAACGCTTCATCCGATGCTGATAATGATGTTGATGGTAAAGATGGCTATGACGACGATAAAACTGGTTAAAAAGTTAAGTAGAAGTAGTAGTAGTAGTGGTAGTAGTAGTAGAAGAAGAAGAAGAAGAAGAAGTGAATGAGAATGAGAAAAGAAAAACAGATGGGAACACAACCGGTAGAAATAAATTAGAAGCAGAAAACTAATAGTAGTAGTAGTAATAGAAGATGAAGAAGAAGAAGAAAAAAAAAAGAAGAAGAAAACGATGATGATGATGATGATCAAGGAAAATAAGAAAATCAAGAAAAAGAAAACCAAGACGAGGTGGAGAAGAAGAAGAAGAAGAAGGAGAAGAAGAAGAAACGAAGAAGAAGAAACGAAGAAGAAGAAGAAGAAGAAGAAGAAGAAGAAGAAGAAGAAGAAGAAGAAGGTCAAGAACCAGTAAAAGAAAGAAAAAGAAAGAAACAAAAGAAGCGTAAGTCAGTAAATAAGAGTGGAATGAGTAGAAGAAGATTTAGTCATGAAAAGGAAGTGGAAGGAAAGTGAGAGAGAAATGGCTTCCTATAAAAAAGAAAAGAAAATGGGAAATAAAATAAATCAAAGTAACTGTCAAAAAGAGGAATCCAATTTAAAAGAAAGGCGGGCTAGTTTCCGGACGGAATAAGAGAAACCTCGATTTCTGTATGGCCCGTGTTCGCACCCAGGTAACTCCCACAATCTAAAAACCCTTATATATTTTTTTCATGTTTTACTTTGTCGAGTGAAATCTCATTCATCTGC